CTGTTCTGAGTGCAGACGAGGGAGGGGCTCGACTATGGGCAACAACTGGGGCGTGCCGGGTGCGGGGCCTGGAAGCGGGGCCTGGAAGCGCCCCAGAGCCCGTGTCCCGGGGAAGTGGCCGTGGCAGCCCCGGGTGGGGACCCAGGTTCGGCTGCTGGGTGACCCTGAGTGCTGAGCCGCGGGCATCTGCCCCTCAGAAGGCTGATCCCCTTTATAACCAGGGAGACGGAGGCCCAAAGAGCTGAGGGGCTGAGAAAACGATTCGAGGTTAGAAGCCCCAAGAGACAGCAGTGACACCAACGTAACGCAGGGGCGTGGTGGCTGAGAGGTGCCAGGCGCGGGCCCCTGGACCCTGAGCACGTCACAGGCGAGGTGCCTCGCAAGTGTCTGCACCGTTTACGGGTCTGAGTTCGGGGGCTGGTCTCGGACTCTCCGAGAGCCCTAAATGCCATCTCAGGGGCCTCATAAGAGGGAGCAGAGGACTCGACACACACGGGAGGCAGCAGGTGGCAGGAGGGGGGGGTGGCGCCAAGGGACCTGGATCCCCCCGAGCTCCTGCTGGGAGTGGGGCCGTATAGACACCCGGACTGCGGTCCCCGAGCCTGACGACGGATTCTGGCCCCCGACATGAGAAAGAAAGTTTCTGTCTTCAGGTGCCTGGTGTGGTCCTGGCCACAGGGCCAAACCTCGAGCGTGGTCTCGTGGGCAGCGCAGTGCAGCCGCTTGGGGCCAGGCGCCTGGGCAGGGGGCCTCAGGGGACCCGCCTCCTCCAGCTGGGGCCTCGGGCGGCCTGCTGACCCCTAGCCCTGGTCCCTCCGTGCCAGACAGTGACCGCGCGGGAGCATGCCACCGGAGCCCGTGTTGGCAGCCCAGGGGGACAGAGCCTGCTGCAGACCCCACGCAGGCCCAGCTCGGAAGCTGGGAGGGGCTCTCACAGAGTCCTGCGGGTCAACCTCCAGTCCTAACGCCGCTGACCCCAACCGCCAGCCCGCCTCCAGCTGGAGGAGACGGCCGGTGTCTCAGCGGGATCTGCCCCATCTCTCCCCAGGCGGGCCCCATGGTCTCTCCCTGGGACTCACGTCCATCCCGCAACCCTGTCATGGTCACATCCCCTACCTTTGTCACTGCCAAGTGACGGAGCCCCTCCCCTGTGCCTGCAGCCAGTCGGGGCTGGAGGTCTGGGTGCCCACACAGGAAGAGCACGTGTCCCTCATTGCTGCCTCGTCCCCCACCTCCCCCCAGCTCCCTGCCGCCCGCTGGGCATCCTGCGATTCAGCCCCACCCCACCCAGCACGTGGGGAACAGGTGTGCACTAGGAGCGTGTGCGTGCGGCCCGGGCGCCCTCTGCCGGCCACACCGGGAAGCGCAGCGCAGGGGCCGGGGCTGGCGGCTGGTCGGGGCCACCGCTTGCTGCATCGCCTTTGGATTGGAGCCCGTTACCAGCCCCCAGGTTCAGTGCCTTCTGAGGCTAAGTCGAGGTCCCCTTCCTGGGGCTCAGCTGGGCTGTCCTCGCCCCTTCTGAACCCTCCGCTCCGGGTCGGAAAGCCGTCTGTGTCCCCTCATGGCCCGCAGTGGCCTGGAACCCGAGCCCCCGCTCCTGGCACCACAGACTCCACTTTGCTTCTGCTGCTGCCTCCTATCCCTGGTGGTGCCACACTGTTTCTGGGCTCCCCTCAACCATCTCCCCGCCCCCCCACTTCTGCAGGATCTCGTGGCCGGCTGTGGGTGTGCCCAGCTGTGGGATGTGACCCAATCGTGGCCACAGGTAATTAGCTGGGAATGGACGTCTCGGCTGAGACAGGGTCCTGGGCTGGCTGGGACCCTGCTCTGCCGCCCGCAGCCCCGTATGAGCCGTCTTCAGCCACCAGGAGCTGCCATCCATTCCTGTCACAGTTGTAAAGATGTCACCCCACAAGCTCGTTGTTACGGCACTCTGAACCCAATGCGAGGCCTCCCCCGCAGGCCGGGCTCACAGACGACCA